CCCATTCCCAAGCAGCGTATGTGTCGTCTTCAACACGTGACACTAGAGAATTGACCTGTTTTGCTTCAGGTGTTTCCCATTGGAGGATTGAGAGCTTAGGTCTCTTGGATGATTTTTTCTTATCTTTTTTGGTTTTAGGATGGGAGCCAACATATTGGGCCCTTTCAAGTTTCAAGATTTCCTTGAATATGACAGGTGGAACATTGTCATCACCTCGTGCAGCATTTTTGTTGAGCCTGCTACAGGCTGTGAGGAATTCTTGGGAGGTAATGGGACCCCCAATAGGTAGTTTCTTGATTTTCTTGTCATCACATGTGAGGTTTTCCCAATAAGTGGGATCTTGAGAGACACCAGTTTTATCCTGAGAGAGAGTGCTGAAGTGCTCATATTCAGCTTTTGCAATGTCTTTGTTGGTGACACAGATGTTCCCAGCTTTATCTTTGCAGGGCATAGGGTGGCTTTTACGTTTGCCTAGGTGATCTGGAAGTGCGGCATTAATAGCTGCGTGGAAGTCAAGCATCTCATTCTCTACGAGATGTTTGGTAGTTTGTGCCGCCCTCTTCTTGGTTTGCAAGGTTTCAAACTTCTTTACAGCAGTTTGTGCGAGTCTACCCGCTTTTTCAGCGTAGTTGGTGAGTTTATTGAGTTCGTCAAGCGGGGTCCGTTTCTCCAGGGCCGCCTGGTAGATTGCCTTTGTCTTTCTGGCGTTTTTGATGAGGTTGGCCACTTTTCTAGGAAAGTGTGTAGTGCGGGGCGATTTTGCATATTTAACAGCGCCCCATTTGGTGGAGGACTCTACGAGGTTAGAGATCCAGGCAGTATTCTTTTCTTGAAGGGTTCCTGATGAGGGAAATGTCTTCCACGCTTCATCAGTAAGGATATCTGTCGCATGACCTTTTAACAGTTTGAGATCCCACTTTAGCGCAGCAGGTGTAGGTTTTTCGTATTTCTTACGAATCTTCATACTGATGGCGGCATGATCACTGACACCGTTGTACTGCAGTGACATTTGTCTACTGACTTTAGTTTTACAGGTGAGATCCTGTAAGGCGGGAGAGATCAACCAGTGGTCAATGTCATTAGGGCGACCTCTCTTGACGAGGCGTGTTAAGTTGGAGCCGCAGCATTCTTTAATGCTCATACGTCCGCCAGTGTGTCTCAGCGCAGCCTGAGCAAGGGGTATGGAGGTCATGTTGAAATCTCCTCCAATTGCAATCTTGCAATTTGGGTCTTCATCCAGAAGAGCATTGACTTTTTCCCAAACAGGCTTAAGTTGAGTTTTACGGTGTTGTCCTTTGTTGGAACCAGATTGGAGATAGACTCCAAAGATATGCCATAGACTGTCAGGCTCAAGGTGTGTGACAACAAGGTGTTGTATTCTAGGATCGGGCATAGGCTTTTCATAAGCACCTATGTCATTGCGGACCATCATGCATAATCCGTAGAAGCCAGGTCCGGCAGGGTGAGAGTAGGTTCTGTAACCTTCAAGTTTGGGTTCGTACCTCATGTTGGTCCTGCGGTGTTCGCCAATTACGATGATGCCGGCGGTGACTTGCTCCGCAAGGGATGCAAGCAGGGTGGCTTTCTTGTTGAAGCCATTGGCATTCCATGCAAGGAGAGAGGTATACCCGGTGGGTACAGAGGAAGGTTCCGGAGGTTTGATGGATACCTTGAAATCAGGGACATCATCACGATATGTCTTGTACAGGTTGACACGCCATTTGGCTATGTTGAAGCAGTCGTGGGTGTTTTTACCACGTTTGGGTTTCTTCGTACTTCGGCTGAAGAACAGGGGGATGCCCGGAGGGCGTTCTCGAGGGGTGAGCTGCATCATTTTGATGAAACCAGGTGCAATGTCGGGTGACACACATATGTCAAACGCAGGTTGTTGAAACGGATTACTTCGTTTCATGACGCCCACCACTTTCTGGCACTGGGCAGGAGTTAGTCTTTGACGTAAGACTGTCCAGACATCAACACTGGTACAATTGCCCGTGTTATTGAGAGTGAATTTCACCGAGTGTTTGAGATTATACTTGATCTCTGCCTGTTTGACACCTTTTTTACATGTCAAGGAGAAGTTACTTTGTAGTATTTGAGGCGTCGTAGTGAGATTTTGTTTTACTACTGAGGCGTAGGAGGGTCTATTTGACTTTCCAGCTGTGGAGGCGGTACTCTGAGTTTGAGTGCTTCCTTGATTTTGTTGACCTGTGGCGGATGAGGCATCACTAGTTTGGGAAGACATATCATTTTGTCCGGAGGTGTGATTCACTTTATGGGAGCGTGAAGAGGTTTTTCCTTTATTGCGAGAGGAGGTAGCAGTTTTGGTTTTCAGTTTAGTAACCAGGGCGTTAGTGGTGAGCATCCCAGAGTTGACTTCCCGCAAGTCGTGAGTAGGGTGCGTATTCGCATCCTGTGATGGCGCAACACTTTGGTTGTTTGGGATTCCACTTTGAGTGGTAGGAGGTCCCTCCGTATCAGCCGGAGGTTGGTCAGTGTGACGGAGGATATTTCCAATGTCACTTGTGATGTAAAGACGCTTCTTTTTGCTTTGTCTGATGGTGTGGTGTTCATAGTGGGTATCAATCCGACTTTGTTTTCTTTCCGAAATCTCTTTCTGAGTCTTCTTAAGGAGGCGGCGGTCACGCATCTGCTTGCCGGTGAGCTTGATATCCGTCTTGGACGGAAACTTGCGGTAGGTTCGACCATTCTGTATAATGGTATCCTCTTTAGGTTTAGGAACTCGTCGTTCAAAGATGTTGGTGGACTCGTCTACTACCTGCGTACGCTTGGCAGTAGCAAAGTTGTAGGCATTGGGCGCCTTTGATTTCCCCTTTTCAAGGGTGGTATGAGTTTGGGCGTCAGTACCCAGAGGTGGAAGACCAGTACGTCTTTTAAGGTGTGATGAAGCATTAGTATTGACTTCAATATGAGGAAGACTTTCAAGTCTTGAGGTATCGATCACATAAGTGCATCGGCTAGGTCCGCCAGTAGCTGTAGTTGGTCTTTCTTCCTGGGGAGCCAAAGTAAGACCAACCCCCAAAGTAACATTATTCATTGACACATCCTCCTTCAGGGAGCAAGGAGGTTTGATTCCCGCAGTCACTTTAGTCCCAGAAGTGCCCCTTGACGGACAGACCTCTTCTGGCGGAGGTAATTCGCAGTACGAGACAGGTCCCTCCACAACCTTCTCGGGGCCGGGGCCCATTTCACCCAATCCCGGACAACAGTAGTTAGAGGATGTTTCTTTCATTGTTGCATTTGAGTAAGATGTTTAGAGCCCTCTCACGGCTTTTCGAGATACACGGCGCATCTCTATGTGGCGTCAAGACACCAGAAGGGCACGGGATTATGTGGGACGGTTAATCCCGGCAAAAAGTCCGTGAGAAGATCTCTATCAAGGTGAGAGGGGGAGTAGTGGAATGTGGTCATAGACACCCTACTAGTGAGCATGATGGTTTCATGCAAGTTTGCGCAGGTTACTATAAGTGCCCACTTGTAGGATGTGACATGTTGCCAACATATGTGATACGGAAGGTTTTTACCGTAGGTGTAGAAGTTGACGTGTACCAGGTTGGATACGTCTATGAGCACTTCACCCGTCGAGGTGTGAGTTTATGCTGATGAGATAAACATTAGCATGATGGTTCCCACCTGTTGAGTTGCGTGAGAGAGGTGTATGACTCTTCAAGTCGTGAGGTTCTTGAGTTGAGTGATACGGGAAGTACGCGCCACACGTGGAGAAGTTGAGGTGTAAGATTCCTTTATGCGCATTTTACCTTTTGAGGTACGAGTATGAGTGTCTTCAATAGACATTAACTTGAAGGTGTCCACATATTGATTTGTGCGGAAGAAGGGTATGACTCTTCAAGTCGTGAGGTTCTTTGAGTGGAAGGTTTGCTTATGAATGTGTATCCAGTGTGGTTTGAGAAGTAACGTCTTCTTGGGCCGCAGGTGTTACTTTATATAGACAAAGTGTGTTAGGTTTAACTTGCGTAGATTGACAAATTTCAAAGGAAACCCTGGTGGATTGTAGGTTTCTCATAGGGTTACGTAATTTTACTCCATACGTAAAGGTATAGTATGTTACAAGTACTAATACCGTGTTTACAAAGGTGTACTTACCGGTTTATGTAAGTGTTGAGGTACGTGTCTTTATCCACGTCATGGTCTTTTCAACTTGTTGCAAGTCATTAGGCGTGATAAGTATCAAAGATGAGGCTTAAATGCGTAAAGTCTTTTTAGAATGAAGATATTCTTGTATATGTACAAGTTTTGTAAAGGTTATTTAACAATGTGTTATAATTAAGATGTAGATTTGTTTCTTTTTAATCTCAAAGTCAAAGACTTATTCAAGTCAAGTTTGGTCAAAGTGATATTAAGTTCAGGTTTAAAGGAGGCACGTGAAGGTATTAAGATAAACCAATTTTGATGTCTTATTTACATTGGAGACATTGATAGATCCGGGCAGTAGACTATAATAAAGTATAGAAGGAAACATAGCCAAGACAACTTGTATTTGAGCGCACATACATGTATAGAGCAGCAGGTTTGAGATAAGACAAGAGACTTAAAACAGAATCAGGACGAGTCAAAAACGCACAAGAGGATATCTGCAAGATATCGAAGAAAAGACTTCAAGTCTGAAAAGGAAGGATACCAAGAGGACAGGACAAGGTTGAGCTACAACGATTTAGAAGGCAGTTGTGAGTTTTTATAAGGTGGAGCTGAACAACAGACTTAAGCAGGTTTAATCGCACACAAAAACAAGGCATATAGGAAAGAAGGTTTATGAAACAACCTATAAGAAGACTTAGACGATTTTTTTTGAAAAGTGAGAAGGTCTTTTTGATGAGGGTGATCAGTCTTGAAGCAGATACTTTGATCGAAAGAGCATCTAGGGACACAGAGGAGTTTTTAAGAGTGTTAGTATCAGTTTTAACAAAGGGTAAGGAAGGTAAGGTGGATGAGCTTACGATCAAAAGCAGTCAATTAGACTTTTAAGTCTGACGAGTGAAGGAACCCATACGTTCGATGGTAGTAGGGACAAGGTTCTCAGCCACAGTGGTGACAGAGACTTGAGGGATAGGAGCAAGTCCAGAGGTTGGAGCAGATGAAGAGGACCGATTGAGGCTGTGACGATACCATAAGTTGTCTCGAATGGTGAGGTAGCCACAGACAGGCCTATGACCTGCATCGTGAGTAGAAGACATGCAGTTAGGACAGTAAGGAAGATACTTCCAGTGGGAGTTGAAGGTACGCGGAGTCTGACGTCCTCGAGCGTCCCATCCAGCCATAGGTAAGAACTTGTCCTTGAGAGACAAGAGTTGAAACCAGCGATGAGTCGCATCAGGTTTGAAGACAACCTCAAAGATCCTACCTCCTTGGTAGGTGAAGAGAGGGCGAGAGGAGAGTTCACGGATCTCGACGATAGCAAGGTGATCGTTGGCGGTTTGAGTCCATAAGGCTCCATAGATCTCCTTCATGATAACACGGTGATGGAGGTGGAAAGGTATACCTGTGACTTGCAACAGGAGGCTGGACATGCGGGGGATCAAAGCTGAGACGTGACTTAAACCGTAGATGAGGACCGCAGATTTGAGGTTGCCGGTTTGTTGAACGAAAACACCACGTTCAAACTGATCCACCTTACGAGTGAGGCGAGTTTGGGTGGTGCTGGATCGAAATCGCACAAGGTAGAAGCGGTTGTTGCCAGGGCCAACAATCTGGGAGACATGATTGACATAAGGGGAGAGGAGGTCTGAGATTACCTCAAAAGGAGCATAGTGACGCTTGAAGTCACCAAGGAGGACAACCATCGCCCAGAGCTGATTGTCGGCAGGCGTGACATGGTCGGCGTGGTAAAGACTCCACCAGAGGCGCATCTCATGAGGGAGATTGGTGGTAGGGGCTAAGGCATACCGAGCGGTATCCTCAGAGGGATTCGTGGTACGCAAGGTGAGGTGACCTGGACCAGCTGCTCAAAGAAACAGCACAAGGTGTTAGTGAGACATAACAAGGAGGTGAGAAGTCTAAAAGACAGTAGCTCACGGTAAGGTTTGTCAGTAACTTGCAAACTAGAAGTGGCAGGGAGGGTTCCACCGGTGATCTCGACCTCATCGTCGAGAACTTGAGGGGTAACAGAGGTACCAGCAGGAGGAGAAGAAGCAAGAGCTATCTCCTCCTCAGAGAGGCCATCGTCGGACGAAGCGGTGGAATCAGAGTCTGATCCTGTGTCAGACAGGTCAGAACTTGGGAGAGGACGCTTAGAGGCGGTACTCGTAGGAGCAGGCTCAGCAGGAAGATCCGGGGTGGGATTAGCAGGCACCGTAGTAGCCTCAGACGGAGCATCAGCCGTAGAATCGGTGACTTGGGTGTTGGGAGGCCCCATCGGCTCGTCATTGATAGGGGCAGGTTGACTGGAAGTCGAAGGCTGGTCGATAGCCATCGTGTTGGAGCTGGTGGAGGCGGATAAACGGGCCACCTTGCGAGGTAAGTGACCAGAAGGAGTCACATGAGGACTGCTCTTTCTGGAAGAGCTCGAGTTCTTGAGGGCTGATCCTCGTCGAGAAGCAGGAGTGGATGGAGCCATTGGTGCTATAGGTTTCCTTTTGTGATTAAAGCTGGTAGAGAGCTTTAGAAGGGGTAGTTGATTCGAGTTGAATCTTCTGGAGGTGTGAGAACACATAGGGTTAGTCTCAAATCCGGATAATTCAATTCTTAGATGAATCGAATTAAGGAAAAGGTAGTTAAGAAGATAACTGACCTGAAGGTGATTGAGCTTAGGGAAAGTTCAAGCAAAGGTGTTATACTCGAGTGAGATTGTATAAGAAGGTTAGGAGGTGATTGAGGTGGTTTTCTAAAGGAGAGTGTTGAAGAAAAGAAACAACAGGTGGAAGAAACATCAGCAAATCGGTCTGACAGGATTCTAGAGAAAGAGTTGAGACAAATTCAACGGAGGTACAAACTGTTTAGTACGAGTTTGAGGAGGGTATTGTAAGATTTTTAGTGAGTAAAGGTTGGTCTAGAGGAGTAATAGCAAGGTTAGTACATAGATGATTGTAGAAGGTACGAGTTCGAAAGAAGACAACAAACAAGTCAGTTTCGATATCAAAAGGTATCAGGGAACGTCAGACAATGTTAGACGGTGAGGAAAGGAAGAACTCACCAAGGGTGAGTCTTTATATAGGAGTTCAAGGTCCTGATTGGTGCCAATCGACTGTTCCAGAGAGGAACCCATAGTGTACAAGGCGTAGAGGGAGGTGTGAGACTGATCTGTACTCGAGATAAGAGATTCGATCATCCGAAAGAACTGTGAGAAGGCCAAGAGCTTCAGATGGTTGATCCGCAGGTGTAGAATCTCGATTTGAAGATGCCAAATGGTGTAGGTGATCAGGACAAGGTGAGATAAGCTCTTGGGGTATATCTGCTCGAGTTTCAGAGGTAGCTTGGTCCTGATTAGGTTAATGGAGGTACTGAAGGTGAGTAATTGATGAGATTAATCGAGTATGAGTAGGTGTAGAAGGTTCAAGCTTGAGGTTAAGAGTGTTGAAGTGAAGCTGAGATTCGATTGAAGATCTTGAGAGGGTTCATTATAAATGAAGGTGAGTGAGTTATCTAAGTAAACTGAGAGAGGTATGTGATCTAACCGTGATCGAATGGATATCTTAGTTGAGGAAGATGAGTGTGAGTGAGGAAAAACTCATCTAGGATCGAATTGAAGTGTTCAAGAGGTGGTTAGGTGGCGAAAAATGACATAGAGGGTTGGAAACCAATTGATGTGAAGGTATGAGGTTATCTAGATGAGTTCCTGATGAGTTCCTGATATGATTTGATGGAAGATAAGGTGATGAGGATGATGTTGACCATCCTAGAGTGGTTGTGAGGTAACTTTGATTGAGGTTGAAGGGTGTCATAGGTCAAAAGATGACGTGGTGGATGGGAAGAGGGCTCCATGGAAGATTCGAGAACATAGGAGTGTTCCGCTGAGGTGTATAAGGGGTGTTGGCCCTGGTAGAAGCCCTGTGGCGGGTTTCAGGTTTGTGACAGGCTCTTGTAACCTGTGAACTAAATTTGAGGAGTAGTACCCGGTACATTGGTACCGGTACATAGGTTAAAGGAGGTGATAATCCTCCTCATTAGGGTTTGTTAGGTCTAATATGTAACAAGCGGTGTGTAGTGTAATGTACCGTAGGTCCGGGTACTGAAGTTCCCGGGCAAAAGCCCTGGGTCAGAGGTAGTGGGTTCAAGTCACAGTCAGGATAGGTGGTGATTGTAGCATAATGCTTATACAAGGAGGTAGTTGGTTCTAACCACGGGTAGTGAGGATCATGTTCAAGCATAATGCTTATAGAGGGAGGTAGTTGGTTCCAACCACGGGTGATGAGGTTCATCCTTCAGCATAATGCTTATATAGGGAGGTACTTGGTTCCAACCACGGGTAATGAGGTTTATGTTTAAGCATAATGCTTATAGAGGGAGGTCACTGGTTCAAACCATGGGTGGGAAGGTATGTATTCAAGTAATATGTGTGTATATAGGGAGTAGGTGGTAGACCTTGGGGGCGTATAGGGTCCACAGGTGGATTTCATATATGATTAAGACTATCTAGAGATGTAATAGTAATACAAAAGAGGTATTCTGATACATAATGTCAGTTTGGGCAGAGAACAAACAATCTTTGTAGTAATGGTGTCTTTTTGACATGTAATGTCAAAATATTACAAGGGAGCTGACTCATAAGGTACTTGGTCTAGCCTGTAGGTGCATATGTAATAAGCAAGAAGAACTGAAGGTGGGTTTGGCGATCCAGGTGGTAAACCAGAGAGTTTTGTCAAAGAAAAAATAGGGTTGTTCTTTTGGAGAAAATGACAACATGGAGTCTTCACTGCTATCTTTGATGTGTATTTAGGGACACCTGGTGTGTTTCTAGTGGTGAGTGTACACAATGGGGGTATGGCATGTAGCCTAGTACCAAAGACGTATTCAAAAAGGTCACTGTTTATTAGGACAAGGCCTGTCTTTAAAATGACAGAGGAGGGATATTTTGGTTACAGTTCCACATATCTATTATGAGTTAGCCTATGTGGCGGTGCCTACCAAAATAAAAGATGGGGCATAGGGGCATAAGGGCATAAGGGTTGTAACGAATTGAAGGGTAGTCCCCTGCGCGGTGCGCAGATTCACCAGTTTGGAGAAAGAATTGATGGTTATTCTATTTGGTTTGGAGTTCCAAAGGTGTTTCAAGATATGTTAAGGGGACATGAACTTCGTCCAAGAGGATTAATAGTCGCCTGATAATATGTAGATCATGTGTGGGTATTATGAATTATTATAAGAGATGGAATGTTTGGGTCTCCACGTAGGATTTCAGAGTTGCTGAAGATGTGAATTGAACTTCCATATAGGGATTCACAGAATGTTGTGAAGAGATGTTCACAGTCTTTCACCTCAAGCTTGGGCTTATCTGGGTGTTTCCAGTGAGGAAATGTGGTAAGGGTGAGTGGTGTGGGTGTGGGATTTCACCAAAGGTTTCTGCAAATTTCTGAAGGATTTTGCATTCAGAGTTTTTTAGCAATGCAAGGATGGGTAAGGTAGCTCAAATTTACCAAGGATGATGGAGGTTGAAGTAGGTGTTTGGAATGTTATGCACATCCTGAAACATTTATAATATGTCAAGTGGGTGCGGGCGGTACTTTGCTGCGTGGTTGACTACTCCCTACCTGTGGTAGGTTATCATTACCAACACTTTACGCCAGCTTCTTCTCGCACACTACTTTCTGTGATGCAGAAGTCTGGAGGTTTAAGTAGGTGTTTGAAATGCTATGCACTTACTCATAACATTTATATTATGTGAAGTGGGTGTGAGCGGTACTTTGCTGGGTGGTTAACTACTCCTTACACCGTGGTAGGTTATCATTATCAACACTTTACGCCAGCTTTTTTCGCGCACACAACTGTCTGGAGTTCAGAAGTTTGGAGGTTGAGGTAGGTGTTTGGAATGTTATGCGCATTCCTGAGACATTTATAATATGTGAAGTGGGGTGTGGGTGGTATTCTGCAGGGTGGTTGACTGCTCCTTACCTTGAGGTAGGTTATCATTATCAACAACTTATTACACCAGCTTTTCACACGCACAACTATCCAAAGTTCAGAAGTTTGAAGGTTGAGGTAGGTGTTTGGAATGCTATGCGCATTCCTGAGACATTTATATCATGTTGAGTGGGTGTGAGCGGTACTTTGCAGGGTGGTTGACTACTCCTTACACCGTGGTAGGTTATCATTACCAACACTTTACACCAACTTGTTCCCGCACACAACTTTCTGCAGTTCAGAAGTCTGGAGGTTTAAGTAGGTGGTTGAAATGCTATGCACTTTCTTATAACATTTATATCATGTGAAGTGGGTGTGAGCGGTACTTTGCTGGGTGGTTAACTACTCCTTACACCATGGTAGGTTATCATTATCAACACTTTACGCCAGCTTTTTCGCGCACACAACTGTCTGGAGTTCAGAAGTTTGGAGGTCGAGGTAGGTGTTTGGAATGTTATGCGCATTCCTGAGACATTTATATCATGTTAAGTGGGTGTGAGCGGTACTTTGCGGGGTGGTTGACTACTCCTTACACCGTGGTAGGTTATCATTATCAACAGCTTATTACACCGGCGTTTCACACGCACAACTATCCAGAGTTCGTAAGTTTGGGGGTTGAGGTAGGTTTTTGGAATGTTATACGCATTCCTGCAACATTTATAATATGTGAAGTCGATGTGGGTGGTACTCTGCGGGGTGATTGACTACTCCTTACCTCGTGGTAGGTTATCATTGTCAACAACTTATTACACCGGCTTTTCACACACACAACTATCCGGAGTTCGGAAGTCTGGAGGATGAGGTAGGTGTTTGGAATGTTATGCGCATTCCTGCAACATTTATGACATGTGAAGTGGGTGTGGGCGATACTCTGCGGGGTGGTTGACTACTCCTTACCCCGTGGTAGGTTATCATTATCAACAACTTATTACACCGGCTTTTCACGCACACAACTATCCGGAGTTCGGAAGTCTGGAGGATGAGGTAGGTTTTTGAAATGTTATGCGCATTCCTGCAACATTTATGACATGTGAAGTGGGTGTGGGCGATACTCTGCGGGGTGGTTGACTACTCCTTACCCCGTGGTAGGTTATCATTATCAACAACTTATTACACCGGCTTTTCACGCACACAACTATCCGGAGTTCGGATGTTTGAAGGTTAGAGAAGGTATAAGAGCGCATATTGCGCACTCACAACATCCGCAGGATGTTTTCAGAAGCTGGGTGTGGTACTCTGCGGGGTGATTGACTACTCCTTACGCCGTGGTAGGTTATCATTATCAACAACTTATTACCCGGCTTTTCGCACACCCAATTGTTCATATTATGAACAACAGAAGAATGGTGTCAAGACAAAGGATATTTGCATCCGTATCTTTAACCGGAATGTGAACAATCCGCATTTTTAGAAAATGAGTTGTTAAAGGAGGTGTTTGTGAGTGGTACTTTGCGGGGTGGTGACTACTCCTTACGCCGTGGTAGGTTATCATTATCAACGCTTTTTACGCCGGCAGTTCGCACTCACAGCCTTTCTTTATAAATAGAAAGGTATAAAGGGTTCGGAATGACAAAGTCATCCGTAGAAGGTGGGTAGGTTCGACATCAAGAACGCTTGATAGTCTAAAAAAGGGATTGCTCCCAGTAAGGTCGGACACCAATTAAAATGATTGGTAGTCTGTTCAAGGTATTCCAATTAGCATCTGATAAGAAATTTTGCCCTTTTCTTCAATTTCTGATAGAGATGTGCGTAAAGCCAGGGCAAACGTGGGGGAACTAATTTTCTCAGCGGATTTCTCCACGAGGACTCTTAATTCTGCGCTTACAAGCTATAAACAACAGCATCATCACTATTTCATTCGAAATACTGTTCGAACTTCATTTCGGACCTTATTCTTTCATGACACTGATCACTAAATCAAACCAGCATCGGATAAGAAATTTCGCCCATTTATCATTTTCTGCGAGTGATGTACGTAAGCCAGGGCAAACGTGGGTGAATTAATTTTCTCAGCAGATTACTCCGCAAGTACTCTTAATTCTGCGCTTACAAGCTATACACGACAGTATCATCACTATTTTACTCAAAACACTGATTGAGATTCATTTCGGACTGCTATTCTTTCGGGACACCAATTATTAATGAATGATCATAACACTTTTTCATTTCCCGAGCCTGAGCCCAACACACTATCAATAGCGGAATCACCCATTTTGACGTTGCCGGACTCCGGGGGCGGTGCGTAAAAAAATGCCAGATTTACCCTTTAAACGGACTAAAACAACGTATTTTATTGATATGTCGAGTGTCATCCGGAAAAATGGTGTTGAGTGGTTGAATCCGTACTTCAGAAGTGTTATAAAACATTTCCGAGGTGTAGAGTCCAACCCCCCTATGCTACAGGCTTGTAACAGATCTGGTGTGATTTACTTGGCTTTACCCTTTCAGCTTCACTCCCATATAGGTAGTCAGGAACCTGATCTGCCTTTATTTTTGACCCAAAGTGGGACATCAGGGGTAATTATTGAAATTTCATCCAGACTGGGCATTTTGGCCCTGTTTGTGTCAACCAGGGCCAAAACAGGGCCAGGAAATGCGCGTGTGAGAGTTATATTTGAAATTCAACCCTTATAAATTAAATGAATCACACTACACTTTATTAACAAAATCAATACACTACACAACACCACACTACACTTCATTAACAAAATGAAAACACAACACTACACTATTAATGAAAGTAATTACACTACACTAATAAAACAAATCAAACACACTACACTACACTACACTATTAATGAAAGTAATTACACTACACTAATAAAACAAATCAAACACACTACACTAATAAAACAAATCAAACACGCTACAAACTTGAAATTCACTACACAACATCATTAAAATAAAAACACTACACAACACTCAAAAATGAAATTCATTACACTACACTAATAAAACAAATCAAACACGCTACAAACTTGAAATTCACTACACTACACTATTAAAATGAAAACACTACACAACACTCAAAAATGAAATTCATTACACTACACTAATAAAACAAATCAAACACACTACAAACTTGAAATTCACTACACAACATCATTAAAATAAAAACACTACACAACACTCAAAAATGAAATTCACTACACTACACTAATAAAACAAATCAAACACGCTACAAACTTGAAATTCACTACACAACATCATTAAAATAAAAACACTACACAACACTCAAAAATGAAATTCA